AAATGTCTTTACAAGACTTTTCAAAAAAAAACTCACACATGTTATATTCTATTTGTTATCCGATTGATCTCATTCTGAATTATCATGCGTAAATCATAATCGGCCTTTTCAACGACTGTTACCACTGTCCATCGGTTATACAGAATCAGGCGATACTGAAAAAAAAAATAAAAAAACGGGGTTGGCACCTACTGCTCTAAACTTATCGCGTTTAGTACGTACTGCATTGTGGCATTGTAGAAGGCGACCATTGTCCGTTGACGCATGTCACACTCGCTCCAATTGTTGGATCAACAATGTACGGAGACAAACAGGTATATCCAATGACTGAATTTGCCGTTGCAGTCGTTGGTGTACCAGAACCCACAAGTCTAAGCTTTGACGTATCACCTGCATAGCCATTTGTAATCTGTAACATCGTTGAAGAGTACGGACAAGGTTGTGCAGAAGCAGGCAATACTTAAGAAAATAAAAAAAGCTAAAGGATTGCTACCCACGCTCTAAATATATTGTATCTAGTACGTACTGCATCGCGGCATTGTAGAAGGCGACCATTGTCCGTTGACGCATGTCACATTCGCTCCAATTGTTGGATCAACCATGTACGGAGACAAACAGGTATATCCAATGACTGAATTTGCCGTTGCATTGTATTGTGTACCAGAACCCACAAGTCTAAGTCTTGACGTATCACCTGCATAGCCATTTGTAATCTGTAACATCGCTGAAGAGTACGGACAAGGTAATGTCGATAGACTTTGGGTGATTGTCAATTGGCAGAATGGCCAGGGTTGACTCCATGTATTGTTTGCATTACATGTAATATTGTACGGTCCGCCGATATTTGTTCCATTTGAACAATTGAACAGAATGTACGAATCTTGAATAACGACACTTTGATTAACACTTGCCATATTTAATCTTTGTGTTATAATCTGAAGACCTGCAGTTTTAGTCGTATCATTGAGAAAACTCTGTACACCACTCAGCGAACACCGTCCAGTTGCTGTAGGGTAACACAAATAAAAATACATTAGTTGGCTATCTAGAGGCTATGGAGAGAGTACTTACGTAAACAGTTTGGTCTTTCACTCCATACTCCATTGTTGCACGAATTATTTGAACCGATAGTTGGATCTGGATAATAGCCGCTATTGCAGCTGACTATTTGATATCCTTTGAAAGAAGCAAAAATCAGAAAAGAATGATCTTTTCACATAGGTTATCTGAATATGTGAGTTCACAAGCTACGATCAAAGTTTTGAGATCCGAAGCAATATTTTGCAGCTGAATCAAGGCTACCACTTTTTGACTTTATAGAAAGCTACTAAGAATTCAGTCACACTGCTGACCTAAACAAAAAGAAGAGGTTCTAGAAATAAAGTTGCTCTTTAATTATTTACCACTGGTTGTGTTATCAGAATAGATGAGAAGTGTATTGCTTGATACATATCCGTTTGTAAATGTATCGGTTATTCCCTTGGAAAAAGGACAACGATTTGTTTGACCTAGACAAATATTTATATTCATTCGTAAATCTTGTTTTAGAACCGAACTATTTAGCCAGCCTACCGTTACACAGTGCAATAAAGTTTACTATGCATAATACAAACTTTAACATTATTAAAATCTTTCTCAATCAAGATGGTTGTTGTTCGGACTTGTGATTGTTGTTTGGAAATTTCAAAGTAGAAAATATTAATGTCTCTAGTATAAATACCAATATTTTTTCTTTGTCTTCAATGTAATAGAAAAAGCGAGTAGGACACCGTCTTTTTGTCCAATAAATAAATATATCGATTCATAGAACATATTGGAGTAATACTTCAACATAGAAGAGACGCACCATATTGAAAAGCTCTTTTTCATGACCCGAAGACATTTTACAGCCAAAACTAATTTATCTTTGTTAAATAATGATCTCCTTGACAAACTTGGAAAATAAAATAAGTGGTGGTTTAATATAAAAAACGAAAGAATAGGAACAAAAAAGATTTTCAAATAAAAAGAGTATCATAGCACGAAAACTAGGCATGGAGAAAACAAAAAGAAATAAATAGCATTATAAGCAAAAAGTTGAATAACATAAAGAACATCACCAAAAAGAAGCAAAGAAAATAGATAGAAAGTTTAAACTGTGGCGAATCGAACGAACACATGCACAAACACGTGCGGGATACTTTTCTAATGGCTGAAATTTGCAATGAAGTCCTTTTTTTCGACAAACAATGACAAACAATTCGATAGATGAGTGTGCGTCATGAGAAAACGTGTAGTGAAAACTTTGAGGTATTTTTAGAGAGTCCAATTTGTTGACTGACAGAGCTTGAGCATGTCGATCGAGCAACAGAAAGAGTTTTGTACGCATGTTTTAAACCGACTGTGTTTTTACCACACGAATAAGAACGAAAATGATTTTCAAATAAAAGGAGTATCATAGCACGAAAACTAGGCATGGAGAAAACAAAAAGAAATAAATAGCATTATAAGCAAAAAATTGAAAAACATAAAGAACATCACCGAAAAGAAGCAAAAAGAAATAGATAGACAGTTTAGACTGCGAAACTAGACACCAATGTCTTCACTGTCAGCTTCTTTTCAATTCAACTAAAATTCAATTTTGTCGCAGTCGCAGTAGACACTAGCCAATCCACAATACCACAAACACAATAAGGTTGACTATACGCACAAAGACATTTGTAATTCGACAACCATTCGGCACAGTTGGGACAGCCATCAGGACAAGAAAACATAAGCACAAACTAAGCAACAGCTCCACCTCGGTGCACGATCACAAGTCGAAAGAATGATCTTCAAAAGATTTACTGTTGTAACGACCACCTCGAGTAATCGGCTGTTCAATAACCGTACGACACAAAAACTGAATAACGCTTTTGTTTAGGCACACGAATTCCAAGTTTAAAGAAGCAGCTACACCAGCATGACCACACTATGCCGTTTTAAAAGTAAGAAAACGAGAGAGGTGCGCAGATCTCTTATAACGTTTGAAGGGAGAGAGATAGAGACCTGCAGTTTTAAGTTTGTGGAAGTAGACACGTGGGTACACAAAACTATGAAGAAATGAGACCTCTAGATTCAAAATGTACGGGGTTTGCCGCTTCCTGAAGGTACGACGGATTTGAGTTTGAAACAGTGTAATCGATAGCCACAAAAGTTACTCTAAAATATGGGCTAGTCTAAGCGGAAACCGCATGTTTCTCACCCTTTTCCTTCAAAAAGTTATAAGCGATTTGCTCATCTGTCTCTTTTTTTCAAGTCAGTAATAGTAACATCACGAACAGCATTGCCATTATAATCGGTGTCATAATTACGTTTCCGAGAAGAGCATTAAGGATGTGAACAACGTCTCGAACAGAGAGCTATTCGTCTTGCATGGCTTTAGTGCCGTATACGTTTCTTCGTTTAAACAGTAAACGGTAAATACTAAATGGTACTTTTCTAAATGAAGCTTCAGAAGGGCGTTTTGTATTTTTCTGTCTGTCTAAAACTACTTCAGGTAACTGTTATAAATGGAATTTATTTAGAAGCCGATTTTCTATTCATGTTTCATTAGATTTTCAGCTTTGGTGTTTCAGTTTGTTAATTTCCACAAGTGTTTGCTTGCGGTGTTAACAGTATTCATTCTTTGAAAATGATAACTTTTAGACTTAAAGCATTTCACTAGCAAACCGTCGTTGTTCGTGTTTATATTTTTTTCTAAGGTTTATAGTCTTGTACAACGGATATTGCTTAAAAAGATTTATTGCGAAGTCTCTATAAATTATGAAGATTATCTGTGAACTATGGTTGATCTCGACTACGTATTTGTATTACTTTGTTAGGGATACTTGCTTCAACTATACTCTCTGAATTGAACATCAGAGTAATAGGCATTTAATCTCCGTGCTTGAGTTATAAAATGAAAAATATTCAGATCTTTCATCAGTAAGCAATGGTAGTGATTTCAGTGCACTGATGAATAGCTCTGTGTTGTTCGCGTTAGAGGCGTTCTATGTAGAAATCGTGTAAATACTTTGTTAGTATCGGCGCATGATCATAAGTCCCACATAATAAAGGCAATATAATAACATCTTGAACCAGCCTCATGTGATCCGTTCCGACTAAATCAAGACAAGTGTTTGATACTGGTCTGGCCGGTTCACGAACTAACTAGACCAACTAACTGGAATCTCGTAACAAAAATACTCCAATAAACGATTTCTTAGATGTTATTGTGTTAATACTGTTAGATAAAAGTTCATATATTGTTTAATCAAATCTACTATTGATTCAGTTCTATATGAAACTAAAAGTAGTATGTACCTGTACGAGATATAGTCGCGGAAAATAACATTCAAATTTGGAATGAACAGTACTTAACTCACACAAGCAGCTTTAAGCTTTAATAAACGAAAGCGTCATTCCTTCCTAGCGGCAAAAAGTAGTTAGTTTAGTGTCCCCTCTTCCTCTGTCTGTGTAGTCAAAATCACCTTTAAAAACAAACGACAAGAGCTGTCGAAGAACAGTATAACAGTGTACAAGGAGGAGAAAGTATTGATGATAAGATTAATGTACCCTGTATTATTCGGTCATCACAATGCTTTATTATTTTCTAAGTTACTTGCGATCAATTACCTTAACGATTTGTTTTTTCTTTTCTTTCGTTTCGATTCTTCACGCATATGTCAGAAACGTGATTCACTCTTTGTTACTTTCTTAATCAAATTCTCTTGTGGGAATTTTCCCACTAATACCATCAACTCAGAATATGTTACGTGATATCTTATTTCTTTTTCTAAAGGAGCATTTGTGTACAAAAACGTCAGATAAACGTGCGAAAACAGCATTAGTTATGGGTAAGTGTAAGTGTGCATGATTCGACCTGATCGCAGTAAGTCTATTACGGGCTATTTTGCATTTTGTTTATCCTACCGTTTTTGAACGAAACCACGTCTCCAGGCTTGTGAAAAATTAAGTGTGTCAAAAATGTAACAGCGTTACGTTTGGACAAGCCGATATATACATGAATTTTTGGTTTTGTTGGACGTGTTTTAACTGAACTATAAGTTTATTAATTTCAACTGGTGGTAGCGGTTCACGGAAAACGGTTAATTTTTTAAATGATTTTTAGCGACTCTAAAACATGTCCGATACAACTAAAAATTGATAGATATACAGAGTTTGACATCTTCTGTAATTTGATGTGGTCAAAACACAGTTTCCAAGAAAACAAAATTTGAACGCGTGGAGATTGAAGGGTCTATCTTTCAAGTTTTGGACTAAAAAAGCAATAAGAGCCCAAATGGCTATCATATTCGAAATCAGCATCGTCGATTACCTATAATCAGCAATATTTCGGGCAAAAAGCGAGGAAACACCTTTGAATGGTTCGTCGTCAGATAAAAATCTTGTAAGAAACTCATAAGATTCTTATCACAACTGATAAAAATCTTCGTTGTCTTGCTGTAATACTAGAGTGTCTTTGTAGAAGATACTAAAGTAGATAAGTTCGGATTCCGAGTAGTTTTCGAACGAACTAGTTGGTATTCTACACAAACAAATGTAATTAGTGAAGAACAATATTTTTAACAATTAACAGAGCTAAACAAACGGAATGTTTGTTATGCAAAACTGAACTAAGTGCAAACGTTGAAGAAATGAGCTGATAGGATATTAACGGGTTAATAAAACGTTCTGTGTCTCTGTAATGAAATGTTTTTATAATTCATTAATAATATTTAGTGTATAATTTTGCAAAATAAAAATTCTACCTCATTGTTGTTCACTTAAAATCTTCATAAATCTGTTTATATTATAACCGAATAACACTTTATTTTATTATGTACAGTTACACATAGACACTGTGTTCTTTGGCGTATGCAATACCCTTAATAGAGATTCATATACCATAAAG